ATATATATATATATATATAAAAATATTATGTTATTCAATCTATCCAAATGACTTTTGTGTATTAATATCTGTGTGTTTCTGGATCTGAGCGACGCACCTGCGTCCCGAGAGCTTGAATGTCATGTTCAAACGTGGTGTGCATCCTCTGCAAGGTTTCCACCGTGTTCTGGTCTCGGCCCAGCTCTTCTGGAAGCTTCTTGTGCTTGTCCAGGATGCGTCCCAGAATCTCCTTGGCGTCGTGGTAGAACTTGTGCAGCTCGTAGGATGCGGCAAGAATCTGCGTGCGTGTGTCGATGAGCTCCAGCAGATCGGCCCAGGCCTCGTTCAGACCGTCCTTCCACTCGGCAACAGTCGCCGCGTCAGTGTGCCCTGCGTTTATGAGTTCGTCAGCCATACGGTTCACGCCGTCCACACGCTCCTGACCGATGTTTCCTGTGTCACGAGCGAATTCACGCTAGTAAGAGCCTGATTAGCTGGTTCAGGTGTGTTTAATTAGGGTTGGAGCTAAACTCTGCAGGACACCGGCCCTCCAGGACCGAGTTTGGACAGCCCTGCTGTAGACTAACCCTAACACTGAAATGAACATTTTGACATTATGAGTGTGTTAGAATTCATTTTTCTCACTCACAGTGACGTGTTCGTAGTCTTGTCCGAGCTCGTGAGATCCAGCCACCACCTCTCTCTCGGCGATCCACTGCTCCAGATCGTCCACCTCCCGGTTGAGCTGGAAGAGGCGGAAGCGCTCCTCCAGTTTGCCTCTCCTCTCCTCTGATAGGTCCTTCAGTCCGGCGTACAGCTTATCCACCTGTGACTGACGCATGCCGATCCTCTCACTGCAGCACAGACACATCAGAAGTCAAGATCACATTCAGAGATGTTCAGCATAAGATGTTAATCAGGCCAGAGGTGCAAAGATTAAGATCTGATTTGAAATACGAACATTAGAGTGCACATCTAATTCAGATCAATTTAAAATCCACATCAAAGTTGGAATCAGATTCAGAATCAAAATGAGATTCAGATCTAGGTTTAGAATCAAAGTCGGTTTCAGAGCCAGAATTAAATAAGTTTAAAGTTCAAATCTGTATTTAGAATCCAAGTCAGAATCATATTAGATTTGAATCCAGATTAAGAATCAAAGTCAAGGTCAGTTTTTGAGTCAGAGTCGAAATCAGATTAACATTTTGGATTTAGAATCAAGGTCAGTTTTAGAATCCAAATCGGATAAATATTCAAATCCAGATTTAGAATCAAATCAGATTCAGGTTAAGAATCAAAGTCAAACTCAGTTTCAGAGACAGAATCAAATCAGATTAAGATTTGAATCCAGATTTAGAATCAAAATCAGATTAAGATCCAGACTTAGAATCAAAGTCAGTTTCAGCATTACAGTCAAAAGCAGATTTAGATTCAAAAATGAAAGTCAAAGTTAGTTTTAGAGTCAAAATCAGATTCAGATCCAGATTTAGACTCAAAGTTTCAGAGCCAGAATCAATAGGATTAAGATTAAAATCCAGTACATTCAAGTCAGCATTATAGTCATAAGCAGATTTAGATTAAAAAATGAAAGCCAAAGTTAGTTTTAGAGTCAAAATCAGATTCAGATCCAGAGCCAGAATCAAATAGGATTAAGATTAAAATCCAGTGGATTCAAGTCAGCATTATAGTCAAAAGCAGATTTAGATTCAGATGTACAATCAAAATAAACAAATTAAAAAGTCAAAGTTAGTTTTAGAGTCAAAATCAGATTCAGATTAAAATTTTCAGAACCATATTCAGGTTTAGAATCAATTTCAAAATCATTTAAATCAGTGTCAGCGACGTCAGTTTTAGAGTCCTAAAAGCAGAAAATCTAAATCAGATTTAGAATCAAAGCCAAAGTCAGTTTTAGAGTCTAATATTAATATTCAAAGTCAGATCCATATTTAGAAATATGTTTAGAAAACAAACTCAAAATTAGATTTTTAGTTTTAAAGTTAATATCAGATTGAGAGTCAAAATGAGACCCAGATTCAGATTCAGATTTAGATTCAGATTAAGGGCCCTATCATACACCTGGTGCAATGCAGTGCCAGGCGCGACGCAAGTGTTTTTTGCTAGTTTCAGCACGACACAGTTGTCATTTTCACATCCTGCGCCACGTTGTTTAAATCGCAAATGCATTTGCGCCCATTTGTGCGCCCATGGGCGTGCTGGTCTGAAAACGAGGTGTGTTCAGGCGCATTGCTGGCGCGTTGCTATTTTGAGGCAACTGAAATAGACTGCGCCATTGACCAACAAAAACCTGGTCTAAAGTCAATGGCGCAGTAGTTTTTTTGTTATTTAAAGAGCGCGTTAGTATAGGCGGGTCCACACCGCGTGTACACTCTGCTTATTACACACACATGGACACACAGCAGCACACAAGCATGTCAAATATTAAAAATTAAAGGATTACAATGTAAAAGATTATTATTGTGTAGGCTACATAAATATAAAAATGCCTACATGTCATAATGGATAGTCACTGCAAGTATCAGAATTAGGCTACCTATTTGCTCGCACATGAGCAGCTCCGTTTCATCTCTGGAGACGTGTTCAGTCTTTGCGCTTGCAAATTCTGCCGTGTAAATAGCAAATCCACCATGGCATGAGCGCACTCTGATTGGTTTATTGCACGTTATGCCCAAAACACGGCCATTACTCATTAAGAGAATAGGGACAACCCTTTTAGACCATGCACCGGGCGCGCCGACCGTTTTTCCCGTCGTTAAACTAGCAAAAGTGGATTTGGACACGCCCTAAGTGCACCTGTGCCGTGCGCTTTAGACTATGCGCTTAGATCGTTAAAATAGGGCCCAATGTGTGTAACTGTGTTCTGTACCTCTCGGGGTGGTTGGCGGCCACCAGGCCTCGGCTGGTCTTGGACAGCTGGTGCACGGTTTCAGCATAGTCCTCCACCGCCTGCTCCAGGATCTGGTGCTTCTTCAGCATGGCCACTGAACTCTGCTCATCCTGAGAACAACAAGGGACACATTTCAGAAAAGCAGCATGTAAACATAGAACTGCTAAAGCGAACACCATTTTGGTTTAAACAGGACACTACAGGTGATCTAATAGGTATCACTATATTCCCCCAGTTAATTAAGCATAATACATTAGGATGTTGAATTTTGTATTACTAATTTTCTGAAATGTTGTTTAAATATGCAAAATCAGACATTATCTATAAATATACACTAATTTGCATACATTTCCAGAAGCAAAATCTGAACCCTGGGTAAAGCCAGTTTCAAAATTCTTGTTTAATTTTGTTAACATTAGAGTTAAAGATTTTTACTTAAGTGATTTTTAACATCTCTTTTTTTAATCAACCTATAAATCAGGAAATACAGTCAACAAGCAAGAATAAAATACATTTTCAACCATGTTTTTAGGAATGAAATGATATATAAATCAGTATGAATGATGTATGAACAAGTCCCTCAGCAAAACATTCAGAATATAGATAGGAATAAAACTGCTAAGTTTGATGTTTGTAAGTGTTACTGAAGTGGAGAAACAAACTCTCCCGACCTTTAAAGATACACATTTTCACCATGTTTTTAGAAATAAAATGCTATTTAAATGAGTGTAAACGAAATATGAAAAAACTAGGGATGCACCGAAATGAAAATTCTTGGCCGAAGCCGAAACAGAACAAAATGAAACACTGGGCCGAATACCGAACACGGTTTTTCGAGTTTTTTCCCCCCCATGTATTTTGCCAATTTTTTTCACTATTGCATAAATTAAATAGCCAAAATGTGCTTTTTACTGTTTTGTCTTGCTTTTCAAAG